AAAAAAAAAAAAAAAAAAAAAAAAAAAAAAAAAAAAAACATACGGTCGAATTGAATACCTCCTTCTTTTGGGAAGTCGGTCAAAAAGTAATCCATCAATCAAAGATCTCTAACCTGGGAGCAATCGCTCAAGAAAACAATATTTTGATTTCAACTTTTGTCCAAGTTTTAATGCGCATTGCGAACTTTGTTACACGGAGAATACAACATCTCTGCGACAAGATTAACACACAAATTAAATTAAATGAAATATATAAGTATCAAGTATATTAAGGACTAGCTGTTCCCGTGCGACTTCATCCGCATATAATTGTGAAAATTTTATTTTATTGTTTACATTTGTCAAATTATCAATAGCAAATATCAAATTGACATGACATGACAAACCTTGACAATCTTGTTTCCTTGGTGTTGGCAGCAACTTTTATTCTTTTTCCCACATTAGGGATTTTATCCAAAACATTTACCCCCTAAGTTTAGTGGCGTGAAAATATATAGACTAAAGCATGACGTAAGTGTAGGGCATTTTATTACAAAAAGAGTTATTCAAAAATATGCTGTAATTGCTGACATCTTAGACAACAAAGAAAAGATTTGAAAGATTTAGCGATTATCCCAAATGGGTGTGATAAATTCTGGGAGATGATGAAATAAATAAGTATACATGTTATTTTACGTATCTGGGGGATTTATCATATCCTACTTCATACTAATATTATAAATGCAAAAGTTTAGATGGATGGATATTTGTTAGAGTTTGTTGCCCTAATTGAACGGATTTCCAAGAAATTTGCCATAGATGTAGAGCATAGAAGAACACATAGGCTACAGAATCGCGGGCAAAAGCTAGTAATGTTACACAAATTACAGAGTATAAAATTTTTTAACGCACTATCGCTTTTTAATAACAAATTAAAGGGACTGGTCATTTTTCATAATTACTGAGTGACAGTTTACAAAAAGACACGCCTTTTACGAATTCCTCCAGTCATTAATTGCTTTAAAATTGCAAGTCATAAAAGCGTACACACACGCGCAAAATGTTGTATACGTGTGACATCAATTATTGTCTAAAGGCGGCTATACACGGCGTTTTGTGCATTTACAAGCGCCATGAATGTATCAAAACGAGAGTTTATTACGTCTAGTGTATAAGTGGTATTACCCGTGAGCGGCCACTCCCATCTAAAATTAAGAAGCGAATTACTCTATTTATAAATTGGACGCTTGGTCGCTCATGTGACGCGTATCTAATTGACATTAATAAAATTTCTTTGTAAACCTCTCCTAGATAATTATTAACTAATTAAAAAAGGATAAATTAAGATGCACTAAAAATACTTAGCTAGCAACGTGCTATGTCAGCATAATGTCTACGCTAGCTCACAGTTACATAGCGCCGTAGCACTCGAGAGCTACGACATTATTGTCTACGTGGTAACAAGCGCTTCTTTTAATATTTCGCATAGGCGAATATTTAACCGTTTTCAATTATTTTTCTGATTTTAACTTTAATTGAATTATTTTTTGATATATTTTTAGTACATTAAATGTTGAAAATAAGGTTTATCTACAAAATGGTAAACATTACAGACATCTTAGCTTTAGCGTATTTAATTGTGTTATCTTGAGAATATCAGAGTACATTACAAACTTTTTCTTATCTTGTAAGACTAAGTAACGTCCCAAGTCGAACCACGAGGGAACTTCCAGCTTATCCTTTAAGAGATTTAGGTTAAGTTTGTTTCGTACTTGATAATCAACTTTATTGTAACTGTAAAAACCTTCTTATATTTTGAGATTACACATTTCTATATTTTAGTCAAAAATAACTAGTATTCTTATACATAATCATACTTTAAAAAAATGCGAAAGTTTAGATGGATGGATGTTAGAGTTTGTAGCCTAAACGGCTTAAAGGATCTCTATGAAATTTGATACGGATGTAGCGGAGTCTGGAAGAACACATATGATACTCTTGTT